TTGGACCCGTAATTGAATAGGTTGTCGGATTTTATAAGTTTCATCAGGTTCTGAGGCGCGGGCGCGTGTTCGACTTTTTGGCTGCTTTGGGCTTTTGATTAAAGATTTGGCCTTTATCGTTTGGAAATATTTCCTTGGGATTTATTTGATGTATTTGAGTTTCTTTTGGCTAGTTGGATCCATTCGGAGGTCAGTACGCACAGGATGGCATTATTGAAGCATCGTTTGGCTTGCTTGGTATTGGAAAACAGGCCTATTTTCTGGAACTTTGAACGAGTTGAGCATTTTATCTCTGAGTTAATTCTTTTATTACTTTTATTATGTTGTTATGAACTATTATTGGCTATTAGTGTTGGACTCCGACCTTTGTTCTAGTTCGTCTCTACTTTCAACCTAAGGTTAGGTTTGTTACTTATTGAGTACATGGGGTCGGTTGTACTCCTACTACACTTCTGCACCTTGCATGTAGATGTTGGCTGTTGATGTTGTTGTGATCGAAGGAAGCTGGATTTGAAGATGTTCTTGCGTTTTGGTTATAGCTGCCTCTTGTTCACAGTAGCCCGAGACTTATGAAAAATATGTTTATGTATTATTTGGAAAGATGATGTATTATTATTTCACACCATCGTTGTAAATTCTAATCTTAGAAGCTCATGATTGTACTACAACTCCTTGGGAAATGTATGAGATCCAGATATTTTCTTTTACTTATTTGTCATATTAAATTTTATTGGAATTGGATATAGGTTAATTGGCTTACCTAGCGGATTGGGTTAGGTAACATCACGACTAGTTGGATTTTGGGTCGTGACATGTTGGTATCAAAGCTCTAGGTTCATAGGTTCTACAAGTTTGCTAATGCAAGATCACGTCAATTGGAGTCTTTGCAACTTTAAACCCTAAGTGCTTGAATTTTTCAAGTACAGTCTTAATATAATGAGATTGTGACAATGCCAGACCTTGAGGAGTCTTATGGATCTTAATCCCCAGAATTAAATCAGCAACTCCCAAGTCCTTCATATCAAACTTGCTAGTTAGCATCCGCTTAGTCGCATTTATGTTAGCAATGTCATTACTCATATCAGCATATCATCCACATATAAGCAAAGAATGACTATGTGATTTGGAACAGTACACACATTTATCACATTCATTTGTCTTAAAACCATTTGACAACATTGTTTGGTCAAATTTCACATGCCATTGTTTGGGTGCTTGTTCCGTAAAGGGACTTAACAAGTCTACATACCTTCTTTTCTTTACCTGGAACCACAAACCCTTCGGGTTGTTCCATGTAGATTTCTTCCTCCAAATCACCATTTAACAAGGCCATCTTAATGTCCATTTGATGAATTTCAAGACCATAAACTGCAGCTACTGGTACTAACATTCGTATGGACGTAATTCTTGTAACTGGAGAGTATGTATCAAAGTAGTCAAGACCTTCTCGTTGTCTATACCCTTTGACTACAAGTCTTGCCTTACATTTATCAATAGTGCTACCATCTTTCATTTTCCTCTTAAAAATCCATTTAGAACCCAAAGGTTTATTTCTAGGAGGAAAATCAACCAATTCCCATGCATGGTTGTTCAATATGGATTCTATTGCACTATTGACTGCCTCTTTCCAAAACAATGATTCCGAAGAAGACATTGCTTATTTAAATGTTCGGGGCTCATTTTCCAATAAAAGTCACAAAATCTGGTCCAAATGAAGCAGACGTTCTTTGACGTTTACTACGTCTTGGATCCTCCTGATTAAATGTACTTTCTTTTGTTTCTTCCCAAGGTCGTTTAGATCCTTCACAAATCGACTCACATTCCTTTTTATACGGATATATATTTTCAAAGAACTCGGCATTATCTGATTCTATAACCGTATTATTATAAATGTCGGGATTTTTTTATTTATGAACCAAAAATCGATATGCTTTACTATTGGTCGCATATCCTATGAAAACACAATCAACTGTTTTCGGTCCTATTTTTACCCTTTTGGGTTTAGGAACTTGCACTTTTGATAAACACCCCCACACTTTAAAATAATTCAAGTTGGGACTTCTTCCTTTCCATTTTTCATATGGAATGGATTGTGTTTTGCTATGGGTACTCGATTTAGTATTCGATTAGCCGTAAGAACGGCTTCCCCCCACAAGTTCTGTGGCAAATCAAAACTTATCAATAATGCATTCAGCATCTCCTTTAATGAACGATTCTTTCTTTCCGTAATCCCATTGGATTGGGGCGTGTAAGGGGCCGTTGTTTGATGAATAATTCCATATTCTAAACATATTTCTTCAAAAGGAGATTCATATTCACCACCGCTATCACTTCTAATCATTTTGATTTTCTTGTTAAGTTGTGTTTTAACTTCATTTTTGTATTGCCTGAATGCGTCTATTGCTTCATCTTTACGATTAAGTAAGTAAATATAGCAATATCGAGTACTGTAGTCAATAAAAGTTATGAAATACTTCTTTCCACCGCGAGATGGTATTGACTTCATGTCGAAAATATCTATGTGAATTAAGTCTAAAGGATTTGAATTCCTTTCAACTGACTTATAAGGATGTTTAACATACTTAGATTCCACACATATTTGACATTTTGATTTGTCGCATTCAAACTTAGGCAATACTTCCAAGTTAATCATTTTTAGCAGGGTTTTATAATTGACATGACCCAAACGTATATGCCATAAATCATTTGACTCAAGTAAGTAAGAAGAAGCTGAAATTTTATTATTATTCTAAACAACCATTACATTCAACTTGAAAAGGCCCTCAGTGAGGTAACCTTTTCCTACAAACATCTCATTCTTACTTATTACAACCTTATCAGATACAAAGACACATTTAAACCCGTTCTTAACAAGAAGTCCAGCAGAGACTAAGTTCTTTCTAATCTCGGGAACATGAAGGACGTTGTTTAGAGTCACCACCTTGCCAGAAGTCATTTTCAGATATATCTTCCCACATCCTTCAATTTTGGCCGTTGCAGAATTTTCCATAGAAAGCGTCCCTTCGGGTCTAACGGGAGCATATGTAGCAGACGCTTATCTAACAGCACAAACATGGTGATGTTTAGCCTAAAGTATATATATTTATATGTATACTGCCTCATATTTTACTTTTGTTTCGTGTATTTAGGATGTGAAATGTGTTGATTTATATTAATTTGAGGTGTTTTTATGTGTAGGAATGATCCGGGAGCAAGTGGGGGCAAATTCTGCGAAATTAGAGCTAAAACGGACGAAAACAGGAAAATTTGACATTGCAGCGCCACAGGCAGCGCCCTGAGCTACCTGTGGTGCCAAAACTAGTAGCCAAAAAATCCACAGCACAAAGGAGGGCGCCTGGCGCTGGGCAGGGCGCCAGTAGCGTGAATCTTGTCCAAATTCGCCCGGAACACGGTTATTTCGGCCCTAGACCTACCCAACATGTATAAAAGCAAGACTAAACTTATTTGTGAGGGGAAGACACCACTTTTGAGGGAGAATACACAAGAGAAACATTCGGAAGCGAAGAGATCTCAGTTTTCTTCATCTTTTTCTAGTGTTTTCAATTATTCAACACTTATGAAATTGTTTGCTATTATCATGAGTGGATAAAAATCCATTGTTCTGGGATTGTGATTTAGCCATGAATATTTTTGTTTAATGTTGACTTAACCTTGATTATAATTCACTACTATATGGTTGTTTCTTGAATTCTGTGATTAATTGCTTAATTTTCTGGCCAGCAGTTAGGTTCTATTTACTATCTATGTATGCTTGGGAAAGTCGTGTTTAGATTAGAGAAGAATTAAAAAGAGCACAATCTTAACTCTTAGGGGGGACCGGTTTGTGGTTAAGATAGGAATATACCTAGTCACCGTGCTTAATTAAATATCGTAATCTAAATGCGTTCTTATTAGATTGATTTCATAGGAATATAGGCGTTAATCCATTTTGAATAGGCGAGTAGTACTTCGGGAGAAGGCTATGAGAGCAATTATCGATTAATTAGCAACCATGAGTGAATTGTATGAGAGGGAGAGTTAACTAGAACACAGTTGGATTGGTGAATCGATCACAACCCTGGAATATTTGTCTCTATGTGAGGCTCACACATTTTCCATTCTCTTTGTTGGGCAAAGAAAAGCGATGGCTGAAGGCAGAACCAGCTAATTCTATTACATCATGGAATGATTTGGCAAGGAAATTTCTGGCAAGGTTCTTTCCTTCAGGCAAAACTGCAAAGATCAGAAATGAGATAGTCGCCTTCAAATAGAGAGCAGGGGAGTCTCTATGCTCGGCTTGGGAGAGGCTCAAGGGGCTAATCAGAGATTGTCCTCATCACAATCAGACAAGAGAAGTATTAGCTCACATTTTCATAGAAGGTCTACATCCTGAAACAAAGATTGTGGTAGATGTTGCAGCTGGAGGTCAAGTGTTGAGAAAAGATTTGACGAGATATATGCATTATTGAACAAATTCTTCAAAAGCAATCCGGATTGGCAAGGAGAGATGGCAGACACACAGTGCAAAAATCTACAGGGGTTCTCGAGTTAGATGTCGTCTCGGCATTATCAGCGCAGATTTCTACACTGACCAACCAAGTCAATCAGATGACCATGGTTATTAACAAGCAACAAGCTCAACCAGTGCAACAGGTTCAGGTGTTTTATGAAGTATGTGGAGAGGGTCACATGAGCAATCTATGCCCAGCAAATCCAGAGTCTGTATATTTTGTGGGTAATGCAAATATATGCCAAACAAATCAGTATGGGGACACTTACAATCCCAACTGGAGGAAACACCCAAACTTCTCTTGGGGTGGAAACCAAGGTACTCAGAATCAATACTGACCTCAAGCACCTCAAAAACAATATAGACCACCCCAGGTTGAACAACAAGCGAGTACAACAAGCCACCTTGAGGAAATGATGAAAAAGTGATGGCTGAACAACAAGCCTTCGCTCAAAAATTGATGGTTGATTAGCAAGCCCAAGACGCAGCAATGAGAAATTTGGAGCGCAAGTGGGACAACTTTCCAGTGCCCAAAAGTACTAATCCAGTTGGAGCTCTTCCAAGTGATACTGAGAAAGCTCAAGTCAATACGGTTACCTTAAGAAATGGAAGAGCATTAGAAGAAGTTCCAAAGAAAAAGAAGTATACGAATAGTCCTAAAGGAGGATTAGTTCCCAAGCCAGTTGAGGAGAATGAGAAAGAGAGCAAGGGATTAGAGCCAGTAATTGTGACAAGGACACCACCTCCGTTTCCACAATGGCTGCGGAAGCAAAAAGATGATGCTAAGTATAAGAAATTCTTAGATATTTTGAGCCAGGTGCATGTGAATTTGCCTTTGGTGGAAATTTTGCAGGAAGTGCCTAAGTATGCAAGGTATCTCAGAGATATTATGCAAACAAGCGAAGACATACAGAGTTTGAAACAGTTGCACTTATTGAAGAGTGCAGTGCTAGAGTTCAGAGTAAACTTCCTCCTAAGCTGAAGGATCCCGGGAGTTCCATAATTCCTCTATCTCTTGGAAAACAAGAAGTTGGTAGAGCCCTATGTGATTTAGGGACTAGTATAAATTTGATGCCATTCTCTTTGTTCAAGCAGCTCAGATTGGGGGTGCTAAGACCTACTAAAATCACTTTACAGTTAGCAGATAGGTCACTAGTTATGCGAGAAAGAATTATTGAGGATGTGTTAGTTCGAGTTGGAAAGTTTATTCTTCCTGCTGATTTTATTGTTCTTGATTACGAGGCGGATGAGGAAGTACCCATTATTTTGGGGCGACCATTCTTAGCTACTGGTAAAGCGATTATTGATGTGAAGGAAGGAAAGTTGAAGATGAGAGTTGACAATGAGGAAATCACTTTTAATGTGTACAAGGCACTTAAGCTCCCTAAGCGTTATGAGGACTTGTGCATGATTACTATGGTAGAATCGAAGGGGATAGAGCATAGTCCTTATGTAAATTATAGTGATCCAGATGGGACAACTGAGTTAGAGGAGGTGGTGTTTCAAGCTGAGTGTGTAAATGATTGAGAAAAGAGCTAGAGATGAAAGAAGAGACCTTCTGAGAGCGGCAAAAAGGTTAGACTTCATGGGAGAAAGAAGAAGAGAAAGCGCCTAGCCTAAGCAGAGTAGCAGAGTTGTGCCACGACTATAAATAAGGTGCTTGTTGGGAGGCAACCCAACCTATATTTTATTTATTTTTTAGTTTTTATATTTTTTGTGTCAAGTTTTGTGTTATTTTTGTTTTACAGGGTAGGGGAAGTCTGAGTACCCGAAGTTGAAGCTGAGGAGCATGTTTGAGCTTAAGTGTGGGGTCGTCTCAACCCTTAATATTGAGGATCATGTGCTAGCTAGGCCCAAGAGGGTCTCATGGAGTACTTCTCACCCTTGTTTAATATTTTTCTCTGTGTTCGTGCATCGAGGACTATGCATAATATAAGTGTAGGGTGGGGAAATTACTTTCCGAAGTGTAATTGTATAAAATTCTACTTGGAATGCTTCATTGATGACAAGACCTTCAATAAAAATTCTGTTAGTAAAAATAGTATAATTAATACTTTAAACATTAGTATTAATTCGACTTATACCTTCAGCAAGGAGATCGTGAATAATCACTTGCAATTTCTGGACTTGGGTAATAACAGACTTGCTATCTACCATTTTGTAGTCCAAAAATTTAGCGGCAACGAATTTCTTCAACCGGGCATCTTCAGTTTTGTAAATCCTTTCAAGCGCAATCCACAGTTCTTTTGACGTCTCCACATTACTGTAGACGTATACAGATCGTCCTCCAGTCCTCTAAGAATGTAATTCTTGCATAGAAAATCAGAATTCTTCCACGCCTCAATCACGAGAAAGCGTTCATTCTCTGGAGTTTCGTCGGGCAGAACAGGAACATCTTCCTTAATAAACTTTTGTAGACTTAAAGTCGTCAAGTAGAAGAACATCTTTTGTTGCCACCGCTTGAAATCAATCCCGAAAAATTTTCCGGGTTTTTCTGCCGGTGTTGTTCGGCTTGTCGACGCATTGGCAGTCACCATAGGAACAATCTGGTTCTCCGTTGTCATTCGTCATTTCTGTAAAACAATAACACAAACAAACGTTAAAATCACGTAGATTTTAATCTCCAATGGAGTAGAAAATCATAAAGGTTTTAGTCTCTAGAACAATGAGTATAACACAAATACAAAAAATTTAAGTTACTTAAACTTGTTAGTAAACTGTATTGTAAAACAATTTTGGAGAATATAAAATAACGTTTAAACAGAAATGAAAACAAAAGCAAAATTTAATCCGAGCTCATTGAATTCATAGTGTTTCCTTAAGTAATTTGATCCCCTCCTAGTACCCAAGGTTGTGGATTATTTCCTCCCAGGATAGAACGAATTACTTACTGGTGTAGCTGTGCTTCAAACTCCAGTGTTTCAGCGAACACAAAGATCAGTAGCAAATCACACTTACTGTTGCTTTCTTAGTAGCTAAAACAATGCATAAGAAAGGAGGAGAAGTCAGAAATTCGTATGGAAAATCTGAGAGAATGGACTGCTATTTATACTCAATATGTTGAGCTAAAATTGAAGAGGTGCATCTCTTTAGTAGGCTTGTTTACGTAAAACAGTCATAACGTAAATGACTATTTAAGCAACAATAAACCGAGAATTCATAACGAGGAGGAAACTAAATTTTCCGTTACAAAAACGGAAAACGAAAAACGGATAACGGTAAAACTCTTAATATTCCGTTGGATTTAATATTAATTTTCCGTTTACAAAAAATAGATATTTAATAATATTACGTTAATATTTACTATTTAATAAACAAATTTTGGTCCAAAATTAATCAACCAATCAAATCCAAAGCCGAGCGACGACAGCGTGATGCTTGTCTTCTTCTTAACTCTTTAAAAGCTAGAAGAAGAGCAATTGTATATATATCCATCAAAAACTTTTCCATATTAGGAGCTGATAAATGTGTTGCTACGATCACATCATCTAATACAGTTACACGACTAAATCAATCTTCTGTATTCTAAAAGTTAAATTTATTTCTTTGCAATAACCTGACCAATTTGTCATGTGATAATAATTTTCTTCCGGGTAATATATATCCCAAAGCTCACCCAAAATAAAACAAAATAAATTTGTTAAAATTCCATTTTCTGTCATGGCCAACACAAAGAAAACTCGACATCTTCAACATTTCAGCAACTAAAAGAATCAAGTCAAACTTGTCAGCGGAGTAGCACACTACAACGAACATGAAATTTCAGCAAAAGCAAGTCTCAGCAGAACTCGTAATTTTAGGAAGATGAGGTGTATAAGTAGACAAGTCTTAGATCCTAATGATGCATTTTAAAGCCGTGCAAGCCTAGGCCTAAATGAAACAATATACCAGGGGACTGATTGTTACATATGATATCAGAGTCACTCTAGCAAACCTCAACGGTCAACTGAGTTTGCGACATCTTTGAGAAGGTGGGTGGGGCAAGTTGTACTGTTCCAATGGTTACATCATTCTCAATGTGTAATTGTGTACATTTGTCAATGGTGAAAAGGTCTAATTATAAAAAATAAAAAATAAAAATGGAAAAAGTCTAAGATGTAATGGACAGCCATAATGTCATTTCTCTTTTTACTGAGTCCGTTTTAGATCGATTCATCAACTATGTCGTTATTCTAAATTAGTTGGTGTCTTGTATGTACATCTTCTATATGTATAATGTATTTCCTTTTTTATTTTGAGAATACACCAAATTAGGATTATTTTTATCAATGGTCGTCAACTTACATTTAGCTTTACCTTTTCCTCCGCAGTTTAACTTCTTTGTATTGTCATAGTATAATTTTTTTACACCAAGTTGGCTTATAAAAACAGATATGCATATGGAGTATGAATTAGTAACCTGGCATATTGTTAAAAGGGCAAAGATTACTTTTAGACTTCGGTCGAAACTATTTATATATTCAGTAGTAGTCGTAAAAGTATATAAATATTGTATATATTTTGTATATAACATATAGAAATGCTTTTGAGTGTGGCAAGTTGGACTGTTCCAATGATGCACATTATTACTTTGAGAGCGGCTATACATTGTCAATTTTCCTACGGTTAATTACGCATTATAATTGGTACAATAATGGTATAGAAAAAATTTGCATTATTAGTGCATATAATTTATGTCATTTCTTCTTCCTTTATCTGCAAACTTACATTTGTGTTGCTCTTCTATAGACCTCCTAAGTCTTAATATTCCCATATTTATGAAGATGGGGTTAGTGATGTCTTTTGAATCTTGTCACTAAGCTGTAGATGGCCCCATATTTTCTTCTAGGACGGCTATGGAGTTTGGCACTAATCTCTCAATCCTAGCATTGGCCCCATATCTCTTTTTGTTGGTTTTCCTCAATTATTTTCTGCCATAATTCATGTATAAATCACCATTTTAAAACAAATAATGATGGATTTGTATGAAATTCAATATTTTCGACACGGCACATAAATATATGTAGAAAATAATTAAAATTTCGATAATTGATTAAATAATAAAAATATAAAGATTGAACTCATCAAATTCAAATCCTAAATTTGTCGTTTATTATGCGAGCTATGCCAATTATTATTCGGATATTTTTTGGAGCAAAATTTTAATCATTTGATAGAACTTTATTTAAAATAAAAAAGAGCTACAAGGGTTTATTATATATAGTCTTACCCTATATTTTTATAAGAAGTTGTTTCTACGACTTGACCTGTGATATATTGGTCACATGGTAGCAACTTTATCCGTTACGCCAAGGTTCCCCTCCTTTAATAGAACTTTATTATACTTTTAAAATGTCTGCTTTTGCTTTCGAAGTATTGAAAAATCAAGGTCAAATATTATTATAAAGATCTGAAAAAATTGACCATTAGAGTCCACTTAGGACACCTAAAGAGGCGAAAGAAAAAATGACCGACATAAACTGATAATAATGGGCTAATTATTTACGACTAACAATGATTAACCCTTATTAGCGATATGATTAAATCCAATTATTAACTAAACAGCATATTAGTTTTCTCCGTTCGCTCTCGATACCCTTATATTCCCCGCCACACGCTCTCTTGTTCAAGAAAATTTTTTCTTAGAAAATTATTTTTGAATTTTTTTAGAAAATTATATTTAAATTTTTCTTAATATTTTATATGTGCTTCATCAATTATCTTTAATTTCTCTTTTTTCTTTGCTGACGAGAGCTTAAATTATGTTGGAATCATCAGCCATCCAAGTTGTGCTTGAATTTGGATATACTTCCAATCTATTTAGTAAAATATTGGAGTTTTTTCTTCTTTTTTTATAATTTTTTTTTTCTATTTAGTCAAGGATGGAGGTCTTAATCTAAAAGTCCGATGTTCATATCTCATTCTTCCCCTCCTTGGAATTGACCTAATCATATTGCAGAGATAATATTTCTAAAATGAAGAAACCATCAAAGAGAAAACATGAGAATGAAATAACGAGACCAAATAAGCAAAATGTTACGAACGTTGACGACAAGAACATAGGACTTTATGCAAGAAGTTCACAATGAGCACTTTAGTATTACGTTTGGTACGGGAGATAAGAGATAATTAAATTCGAAATTAAATTTGAGATGAGTTTATCCCATATTTGATTGGGATAAAATTACGGTATAACTAATTCCAAAAGTAGTTATCCCAGGATTGTAGTGTTATTTTTATCCCTAAGGGGTCGTTTGGTTGGGAAACAAATTATCTCAGGATTAATTATCCCGATATTATTTATCCTACGATTGTTTTTTTTTTTTTTGGTAAATTAAGATTTTATTTACCAAGTAAAAATATTTACACTCTATCAAAATTTGAACTTCCCATTAGAGCTCCTGCCGGACATGAAGCCCCAACTAGGAGATGTTTATCCTTACTACATACTCTCCTACTGCCTCTTCACTTATACTCTATCTGGGTACCAATTCATATCAGTCATGTATCTATCTAGCTTCGAAAACTGCTTGGCTCTTATATGTATTTCTTGGATGATCAATCTGATAATAGCATTTGCAGTACTCTGCTTCTTCTGAAATATGGCATTATTCCTTGCTTGCCAAATGTGATAGACTGCTGCTACTAGTACCATTCTGCATATTGCTGCTCCTGCACTTTTCTCTTTGGCCACCTTCTCTATCCATTGTAGTTCTTCTTGCCATTCTGTCTTCCTTCTCTTGATGCCTTGCCAGTGTAAAAGATTCTGCCATATATTTGCTGACATTTCACATTCAAAGAACAAGTGTTGTATAGTTTCATATTCTCTTTGACAAAGTGAGCATGTTGTATCTTCTAGGATTGCTAGCCTTTCTTTTGTGGCTAGCCTATCTTGTATTGCCAACCTTAAGATTAAGATGAATATCCACATTGGAAGTCCATGGTTATTGCAAACTAACTTTCTCCATGGCACCTTCTGGAAACCCCATTGCAATGCTTTATATATGTGTTTTACAGTGAACTTTTCTATCTTAGTCACTTCCTCTTCTGAATATCCAGCATCCTCAAACTGTCTTTTGGCCTTGAAGATCTTCTGGATAATCCACGATGCACTCTTTGGCTCTGTGCTCCCTATAGTATTTCTCTTTATGTAGTAAGCATGTATCCATTGTACCCACAGTTTTTCCTTCTGTGTGCAGATGTTCCCCTTTATCCTAGGATTGTTATCTCACCCTCCGGTAAGGATAAGAATAACACTACGGGATAACTAATTCGGGATTTTATCTTAACCAAACATGAGATAAACTCATCTCAAATTTAAATTACGAGACTAATTATTCCTTATCCCTTGTACCAAACAATATAGCGTCACGACACTTATTGATCTTTTGTGACAAAACGGTTAGATTAATTATAAACATATGGTTAAAAAGATTAATTTACATATATAATTCGAATTGTAAACAACGTATAATGAGAGGGAGAGCCAGAGTTTCTTCTTTGTAATATTTTAGGTTTCTCACACAACAAAAACAGTTGGGGGCAAAGTTTAAAAAGGAAAAAGTCAACAGGACAAATATTTTGACTAAAGATAGACTTCAAAGGCCGTTAATTCAGGTAATCAACGTCTTATTAAGTGTGGAACTGACAAATTCTCAGCTTTCATAATGTGCATAACATACACTAAATTCTCCAAATTCTCCATTTCAAATATTGACTTTTCAATATTTTTTTTAGTAGCTGCAAATAAGTCCAAAAGCCACTACGACAAAAGAATTTACTACTCTCCTTTTTCAAAGATAATTAGTTAGAGAAATTTGAATTTCCCTTGTTTGTTCTTGAAATTCTAGGCAATTATAGATTCTTGGGTTGCTTCTTTTTGAAAAATTTAAAAGTTAATTCTGATTTCTGAAGTTTTGTTCATTTCTTGATTTCTATGGTCATTAATTTCCTCAAGAAGATAACTAGGTCTTGAATTTGTGGAGAGGAGAAGTAGTTAATATTAGGTAGTTAGGATTTTGGTAGAGGTTCACGGGAAAATTGGGATTGTCACAAGAAAGGTATCAAGGGAAAAGGCACCGATTTTCAACTGCCTTCAGTGATTGCAGCTCAAGTGTTTGTCGATTTGTCTTTCTTAGAAATTAGTGTAGTCAGTATAAAAGTTACAGGATTTATGCTGTGTTTTATCAGAGAAAAACACAAGTTAGTTCTTCCTATTGATATCCAATTTGTGTTCTTGAAATGGAGCATTCTGCAGCAGATAAGGATCCTAAAGCTGTAGAATTTGCAAAGGATAAGAATGGAGTTGGTCAAGTTTTGCTTCGAAATCCACGTGGCGCCTCTGTTCGAGTTAGTTTCCTTTTGAGATTAAGCTTTCTATTTGGCTGAAAGCTATGTTCATAATCTGAAGTCTTTGAGAAACTGAGGTTTTTGTATTGTTTTATCCAGGTTAGCCTGCATGGAGGACAGGTTCTTTCTTGGAAGAATGACCATGGTGAAGAATTACTTTTTATAAGCAGTAAGGTACATTCTTGAAGCCAATTGTGCTGAAGCAATCCTCCCGGTTTTCGTACTTTTGTCGTTCTTCTCAATTTGATTTATGGGAGAAAGGTTTATAGGACTCATGTTTCCGCTAATCTTGCAGTGATAACTGCTTTAAGTTTATGTTCAACCAGGCTATTTCTGAGCTTCTTTGAAATTTCTTGGCTAATGGAAATGTTAAATGAGTATCATTATGATGAAAATTTTGCTACCCAGTGATAATCTTGTTATCAGATTCACCAAGAGTGACATTCTGTTTCCTGTATTACATGGTTTTCTTAGGTCTGTCTAGTTAAGGAATTTTAGGAGAAATTGTGGAAGTAACTTGGTAATCTCAAGAAATTATATGAAACTGAGAATTTGTTGCTACGTACAAACTGATAAAACGATCCTTCTTGTTTTGATTCTTCATCTTTAGGCAACTTTTAAGCCGCCAACAGCTGTGAGGGGAGGAATTCCGATTTGTTTCCCACAGGTATATCGCTGTTGTTAAGCACTTCATATTCCTCCTTAGATATGAGTTATACTGAATTTTCAAAATGTGACTGATATTATGTATACTTCTGAAGTTTGGAAACCGGGGCTCCCTCGAGCAACATGGATTTGCCAGAAATAGGATGTGGATCATTGATGATAATCCTCCTCCTCTACACCCTAATGATTCCAATGGCAAAGCGTATACTGACTTACTACTTAAATCATCTGACGACGATCTTAAAGTCTGGCCTCATGGGTATGAACTTTATCTTGGAGATAATATGAAATTCTTTCAATATAATCCATTTCTTTCTTAATAGGCAGCATAATTGTAAATGTTTAATTAGTATGCTAATACATTTATTTTGTTGTGATTCGGTCTTGATCATGCTATCGAGTGAGTCCAGCTACTGATGTTAGTCCTCTCTCTTGTTTCTTTCTCTAGTTTTGAATTCCGGCTGAGAGTAACTTTGGCTGTTGATGGATCTCTTACCCTGATATCACGCATCAGAAATGTCAATTGCAAGCCGTTTAGTTTCTCCATTGCATACCATTCATATTTTGCTCTCTCAGATATCAGGTAACTATCATAAACAGCTCGTGACTGAACGATTCTTCTAAATAGAATGATGGTTTTCCAACTCTACGTTAGACTGATAAAAACATTGCTATGTAGTATTGAGAAGTTTGCATACTATCTTAGTATCTGCAGTCAAATTCTTGTATGAACAGAAGTAGGAGTATGAGATAAAATTTTCAATTATAAAATGAGTATACCCCTTTGTTACTCACACTTTCTGGAGCATAATGCTGTAACATAACGTAGGAAAAGCGGGATGAATATGTTTTCATCACCCTCCCTATCTGTCAGCAAAGAAAGTTTGCTGTTCAAATTTAAAAAATCACTAGGTATATATCGTGTTGTTCAATTCTCATGGATCTCTGACAGAGCGTAATCTGCTGTGGTTGATGGTGATTTCAGGCCTTTTAAAAACCAAAAGCAAAATAAACACATTTTATGTCATGCTATTCATCTATTTCAACAACGGCCTAGATAAACTTATGGATTTCATTACATATACTGTACAGTCTCCCAATTCAGAACTTGAAAACAAAGCTAAACTAACTGCTCTTATGACAGTGAAGTGAGAGTGGAAGGCTTGGAGACTCTTGACTACCTTGACAACTTGTGCAACAGAGAACGTTTCACTGAGCAAGGAGATGCCTTAACATTTGAAACCGAGGTAAGGAGTTACATACTATTTGATCGTGCAAGGGAGGTAATTTTCAGCATGTGCCATATCAAACTCACATGCCATAGTTCAATAAGGCGCTTCGAGTACCATTCGGCTAGCCACTGTATTTTCTATAATTTTCTCTCTGCTATTGCTTAATATTTGGCTCCTCGGTGGGTGACACGTACTTATGTTGATTCTCCACCCCCTCCCCCTTCTAAGCATGTACAACAACAACAACAACAACATACCCAGTATTACCTCCTTCTAAGCATGTATTGAAAAAATATTTATGTTGCTTTATGCTACTAATCCAGTACGAGCGGTAAGCCACAGTATACGTATTGCCCCTCTTTACCCATTTGTTTTAGAATAATTGTAAGTTGCTTGCACTGGTGCTCTAAGCATGACATAAGCTGTGGATCATTTCTGTGGGTGTAGCAGTAGGTACTGGTTATGATATTGTCAAACCGTTTTGATCCCTAAAATTTTAACTTTCTTGTTTCAGTTCAGTAATTTAGTCCTGCTTCAAACTTCTGTCTCTCTTCCTTTTAATGAAAAATGAGTCAAACAAATGAAGTCAAAAATGAAATGACGATCAATAGTAGAATCAATGTCTGCCTTGGCTGGATAATCATCTATGGGAGCATAATATTTACTGAACTTGTGTGATGAGATCATTTTGTGTTTCATATAACTGGTTTGTGTATTTGTAACTCCACCTTTTTCTACAAACTAAAGATAATCTGCATTTGTTTTCTTTGTGGCAGGTGGATCGAGTTTATCTTAGTTCATCAGATGTGATAGCAATTTTTGATCATGAGAAAAAGCGGACTTTTGTGATAAAGAGGGAAGGGCTTCCTGATGTTGGTGAGCTTGACAGTCCTTGTGCATTTACTTATGTGCTATAAAACCAAGCCAAAAATAAATAAATAAATAGCAGCACTCTAGACAACTTGGGATGGTCAAAAATATTTCTGAAGCATACAAACATAGTCGCCACCTAAACTATGGGAGGATTGTCGTTAATTGCCAAGTAGTTGATGATTTTTTTAATAAGAAAATAAAAGCTGAAAAACTGAAAATGAAGAGAAACAAAGATCAGAGAGGAGAAGAGATCCATTATAGAGAGTCCTTAGGTGATTTTTCAAGCAACAATGCAGAGTTTCTGTATATATAATCCCTTTGTGGAAGGATGTTACTATGACTATTGATATAAACTCCAGAGCCCGTATTGCTTAATTGATTGAAAGCAACTGATAAGCATCACTTCCTGAAGTTGATTTCGTAAATAAGTAGTTACGTAGGATAAAGGTGTTGAAGCTGGTAACTAATGTCTAATAGAGTCTTGGCATGCCGTATATTCATTTCATTCATCACTTCTTCTTAGATTTGGGTAGTCTGGTGTCAAAACATCTGATGTGTTCAGTTTAGTAATCTAGTTACTGCATCTGATTATCTTTAAACATTGTACATTAACCTATGACAGTGGTTTGGAATCCATGGGAGAAGAAATCTAAAACCATAGCAGATTTTGGAGATGACGAGTACAGACATATGCTTTGTGTAGACGGAGCAGCAATCGAGAAACCAATCACCTTGAAGCCAGGTGAAGAATGGACTGGAAGGTTGGAACTGTCCGTCATGCCTTCAAGTTGAAGGATCGCTAACAACAACAATGTCCTAAGCCACGAGCTGAGTCTCGCGTCCCAAGTTAAACACAGAATTCATGCAACGTATGGCCTCCTTAATATTAGCAGCGAAGTCGTACACTAAGAACCAATATCAATGTATTATTGGTGTGAATTTGTAGTACTTAGATGATTGATGTTTGAAAGTTCCATTTGTTATTCTTGTGTATGTGTACATGTAATGGAATTGGGGAAAGGTCCTTTTTAATGTTTCCCCTCAACATTGTTGTAATTTGAATGGCTACTTCATAAATTGCAGAAATGAGTTACCTTATGCAGCTATGTTGTATTCTCCTTTATATCACAAAAATACCTAATGTATTTGTCTCTTTTCGTCTTCTTGAGCCGAGAGTCTTTGGAAAACAGCATATCTACTCCGTTAGGGTAGGGGTAAGGTCTGCGTACTCACTACCCTCTCCAGACCCCACTTGGGATTTCACTAAATTGTTGTTGCTGTTTATGTAAATTCAGAGAAAGGTTTGATTCAAAAAAATATTGGGCGAAGAGGGAAGCTGCTCTCTAAAATATCAGAGCCAGGTTTCGATCCTGGGACCTGTGGGTTATGGGCCCACCACGCTTCCGCTGCGCCACTCTGATATGTTGGTATACTAACTCTAACAAAATATAATTATATAACACTTATTTTAATTTTCCCCATAAAGTCTTTTGTTTTATTCTCCAGTAATTTCTAGTCTCTGCAGTAAGATCTTGGGTATTAGAACTACTTCAAAAAACTATACTTGGGTTACTTTTCCATCAAAGGGAGATCTTCATGTTTTTAATTTTCAAAGGAGGGACTAATTTCATTAATTTGTTAATTCTAGGCGTTAATTTAAATATTGTTGAAATCGACTTAATGAAATTATGAGTTTGATTTGTGTTCCCAAAGTAGCTTCTTTGGAGAATCGACAACTTATCGATGAATTTTCCTTTAAGACTAATTGTTATTTCCACAGCTAAAAACGCCTAAATTTTAAAATCTTTATATACTTAAAGTTTTTCAAAATCATCGACACGAGCTATTGACTGGTCGAAAATTGATTACTTATTAAAAAATGGAATAAGAAATGAAAAAAACGTACTACAACAACTACAAATAAATATTTATTTGCTCATACTTTGATCGACAACACACCGTCTTTCTTTTAGAAAAGAGGTCAAGGAATTTTTGTGATATTCATTGATACAAACCAATAAATCCAAAAACTAGTCAAATCTCAAAAAATAAAACTTAATAACAAGACAATACACATGGATTCAAATGTATATCAAAAACAAAGCAAAAGGAATAATTCCTTTCAAATATATGAATCTGTATATTTGAGGACAAATTGTGATGGTTAAGTGAAAAGAAATTACAAGTTGAATTGTCGCTGTTTTTATAGGATACTCCCAAAAGAGCAGTTGACTATCTCTATTATCCTAAATAATTATTATTATTATTATTACTATTTATAGGATGATCATTTTCCTCTTTTTTTCTTTTTTTTAATAATGATATGATGGAAGTGCTTTTTGAGATTCCACATTGACAAAACATTCTACCAACCAACGTGAAAAACCATTGTCAATGATTTAAAGCATTAGCTAGGTTATACAATATTCTCTAAATAAAAGTAAAAATAAAACAATGGTTTTTGTAACGACCCGACCGGTCGTTTTGAGCCCTAGCGCGCCATTCAACAGTTCGAGGCCATGAGCAGCTTCAACTCAGGCATTATGACTGGTACGCGTGGTCGGAATTAAATTTCGGGAAGTTCGGAGTTAACTTGGAGAGGAAATTCTCATTTCAGAAGCTTTAAGTTGAAAGAATTAGCTAAGATCGGATTTTTGAGTAAACGACCTCGGAATCAGGATTCGAAGGTTCCAGTAGGTTCGTATGATGATCTCGGACTTGGGCATATGTCCGCGTCAGATTTTGGATGACCCGGGAGCGTTTTGGCGCCTATTGTGGAAGTTAGCATTTTGGAAGAAATTTTATAAGTTTGGGTTGAAGTGCATTTCAGTGTTATTGATGTCCGTTTGTGATTTCGAGTCAGGGAGTAGCTCCATATGGTGATTCTGGAGTTGGGAGCGCGATCGGAAGTGAATTCGGAGGTCCGTGGCTCATTTTGGAATCATTTGGCTAAAGATAGAAATTTGAAGGTTTTTGAGAAGTTTGACCGGAGGTGGACTTTTTGATATCGGGGTCGGAATCCGATTCCGGAAGTTGGAGTAGGTCCGTAACGTCGAATATGACTTGTGTGCAAAATTTGAAGTCAATCGGACATGATTTGATAGGTTTAAACATCGAAAGTAGAAGTTTGAAATTCTAAAGTTCATAAAGCTTGGATTGGAGGTCGATTCTTGGTTTTAGCGTTGTTTGATATGATTTGAGGCCTCGAGCAAGTCCGTAATGTGTTTTAGGACTGGTTGGTATGATTGGTTGGAGTCCCGAGGGCCTCGGGTGAATTCTGGGTGGTTAACGGATTGAAAATAGAATTTTGGGGGAGCTGAAGTTGCTGGTTGCTGGTGTAATCGCACCTGCGAAAATAGGGCGAAGCGGCCTTCGTGCCGCAGAAGCGGAATTGGGCGGCTAGGCATGGTACCGCAGATGCAGTCATTTTGCCGCAGATGCGGGACCGCACCTGCGGGAGGAGGAGCGCAGAAGCGGGCTGGGGCAACTGGAGGAAGACCGCAGAAGCGGTGGAGTGGCTCGCACCTGCGGAACCACAGAAGCGGTCAGGGGACCGCAGGTGCGGAAATGCTGGAGGCAGTGAGGTTCTTTTAAATCAGGGGTTGAGTTCATTTCAACCCCATTTTCTTCCATTGGAGCCGATTTGGAGCAACTTTGAGGTGCCATTTTCACCACCAAGCATGAGGTAAGTAATTTATGCTAGTTTTGAGTTAAATACATGACTATATACGGATTTGGACATGGTAATTTGTAGAAAACTTGGGGTTTGAGGGAAAACCTAGAAAATTGATATTCTTGGAATTTGACCACGATTTTGGGTATGGAATTAAGAGAAAATCATATATTTGAGTTCGTGAGTTCATGGGTAGACTTTATCTTTGAAAAATTTCGGAATCCGGGCACGTGGGCCGGAGGGCGTTTTTGTCAACTTTTCGATCGGGGTTAGGAATTGTTATATATTGGATTGTAATGAGTAATTGAACATATATTAATTGATTCGCATAATTATTGGCTAGTTTTGGTGCGTTGTGCATCCATTTGAGTCTTCGGAAGGGCGTGGAATGTCGGTTATGGATTTTCGGATCGAGGTGAGTCTCCTTTCAAACCTTGTAAGAGGGAATTGTCCCCATAGGTGAATTAATTGGTTATGTGCTCCTATTTGTGGGGGCTACGTACGCACAAGGTGACGAGAGTCCGGACGTAGCTACTATTATGTTATTGTCCGGGTAGTCTAGGACCCAAAAGCATGCTATACTTAGAATATCTGTGATCTTATCGACAATTGAATTTCTTAATTCCTATCGAACTAGTAAATGAATTTCTAAGAAGATTAAACTTCATTTTCTTGAATTGTTAAAAGAGAATTGGCTTTTCCTTGGGTAATTGTTCCCTGATAAATTCATGATTGACTGATTATCGTGTTTATTTATATTTGACCGCGTCGCATGTATGATTCGCGAGCGGGGTAATAGATGCATCTATGGTTCGGGCCGCTCGACCCTCGGCAGTGCACATTTTACATTTATGTTAGATCGGGCCGTACGACCTCGGCATGAGTTGCGCATGTTTGAATTGCTTGTCTCGAGATTTATTGATATTGCTGTCTGCTCTCCCGACTTGAGATAATAATTAATGGATTATGAATCCGGAGACTATAAATAAAAAGGAACTTTCACCTGTTTAGTGACTCATTTAAATCTTACTATTGTTCTTAATAAATTCGCGAGTCATCGCTTTAATAACATTATTATTGGATCTTTAGTAAGTGTCGAAGTTGCCATCTCGTCTCTACTTCTTCGAAATTAGGCGGGATACTTACTGAATACACGTTGTTTTTGTACTCATACTACACTTCTGTGCATTTTGGTTGCACAGGCATATGCATCTCTAGTGACCTAGTGGGCGTAGTAGCATGGTTGACACGGAGACTAGGTGAGCTGTATTTCCTCGAGGCGATTCGCAGCTAGTATAGTCTCTCTCAGGATTCTATTTATTTTCTGTCCAATTGTATTTCGGACAGTTGTTGTACTTTATTCGGTTTTTCTTAGAAATTGCTCATGCACTTATGACAGCGGGTTCTGGGGATGTCTATGGGTTTATTCAGAAATATTAAAGAATAGTTAAATGTTTCATTATTTATTCAGTGGAATTTATTATGTATGGTTTAAACGTATAAAAGAAGTGGTTTCGAAAATATTTAAAACGAGGATTTAATTAAGTATTCTTGGTTGGCTTGCCTGACAGCGGCGTCCGGCGCCATCACGACCTTAGTAGATTTTGGGTCGTGACAGTTTTTTTCTTTTTGGAGTTTGGAGAAGATATACATGCCTCTAGATAGGAACGTGCGAAAGTCGAGCATTAGGGTTGTAGGCTAGGGGATAGTCGAGCGTTTTTCTCTCTTTATACCAAATAGTTTGATAGAGTTTTTTCTAGGACTGCTAGCAGTTTATGTTGTGTTCACACTTTTTTTTTGTTTTGCATAATATTGTTATTGTCCTTCACTTATTTGTTGTCTCTTGCGATGTTGTTATTGTTTTTCTTGTGTTGTTATGGATCTATTCTTTTGTTTCTTTTATGATATTATTGTCTCTTCTGTTGATCCGAGGGTCTCCCGGAAACAGCTTCTCTATCCTTTCGGGGTAGGGGTAAGGTCTACGTACACTCTATCCTTCCCAGTCCCACTAGTGAAATTTATATGTAGTGTCGGTTGTTTATAAGTTAGCAAAAAAAAAAAAAATTGGTGGTGTATTACTTTTCACAGCTGTGGAGTTAAATATTTAAAAAGTAACTTATGGAAATAACTTATAGGAGATATTAAAGAAATTATATCCCGATAGAGTATGGATGCTCATTTGTCATTCACGTGGAAGTGTATGGACTATCACTTGCATTTATTTATCTATCTTATGAATAATTTTGAAAAATGAAAACTATATTTTCCAGAGCAAAATACTCGAGACAAGAAAGTACTTTCAATCGTGCTCGTTTTTTTTTCGAAAGTATTTTTTCTAAATATATGATCGACAAACAATTATTATGTTCGCAATTCTTTCTCCACCGATAGATAAAATGTTTTAGTGGGCGTTTGTACATAAGAATTGT